AAAGAAAGAAAGAAAAAAAAGAAAAGAAAGGTGAAATTTGGCCCTGAATTTCTGGATCCTCATCTATAAAAGGAGGTGGTGTCCCAGATGTTCTTGCAGATTGCTTGTGACCCTAAATGTCCATGTTACTGACCACATATCTGTCACCCATCATGCACCCCATCTGGCTGCTGCCTAATTGTTTTCATTTTGTTTTTGAAATGTAGTTTATATAGTGTAAAGTTAAAAATCAAAATAATTTAGACAGAAAACCGTAAAGAATGGCAGGTTTGCATGTAATCCTTGGCTCATTACATAGGAACCAAACTGTCCTGTTTAAAGGTGACAAATCCATCCAAAGACCTGGTCTCCACAGTCTGCCAAATGGGACTCTGAGAAATGTCTTTAGGCCTTCCAGATGTTTGGCAGAATGCAGCTGGAATGCCTGGCCACTGGACCCATTTACTGAAGTTCCCTCTAATGTGTGTGTTCCCTCAGTTTCTGGACTGAAGTTACCTCATGCTCTGTCCACAGCAGGACTTAAGGATGACATTGATTTATAAAAGTGAAAGCCATGAAAAGGGGAAATGAGAGATGAGGGGAAAAGGCTACACTGGAGGGAGCGTACTATCCTCAAGATACGCAAGGCACCTGCAGAAGGAAGGCTACGTAGACAGGTGTGGACTATGTGGTGCAGCCATTAGTGTGAGCAGCTGCAGGCACTGTGATCTCAGGTGTTGACAGGTTATCACAGCTCACTCTCAGAAAACTGGAAAAATGTGTCATGTTGACTCACCACATTAGGGAATTTTAGATTTGGGGCAAGTTGCATACATGCAAAATATTAGAATTTAGAAATACTTTCTCAAAATTGATGCCTTTTAAGTTTTTAATGGCTTGGAAGTTGAACTAGGGGAGTGGAAAGGGTGAGCAATTTTGTAGAGAGTTTGAGAGCCTGTTTAATAATAATAATAATAAATAGTTCCTATTTGCCTGCACCGTCACACATTGTTTCACTTGCTGCTTACAACAACAGCCTAAGGGATGTAGGATAGTTATCATTATCATCATCACCATCATTATCCTATGTTATGGCAGGAGGATTGGTAGCCACATAGATTACAAAATACTAAGAATTGGAGCCAGTTGTCTCAAAAGTTAGGTCTTGTAGCACATATTCTACCTCTCTTCTGATAGTGTTTGTGATAACTTTCATAACCGCCAGAGAGATGCAACACTGCGACACCAACAGCCTCTTTCTGTTGTTTAGGGGCCACTGGCCCTAAAACACAGCGTTTCCCTTGCCTACTACTTGGCGTGGATGTCCCTGGATTCAAAACCTCTCCCTGGGCAGGGGAGAAAGGCAAGGAAGGTAGCCCTAGACCAGTCTAAGCAGGACCCGGGAAAGCAGGAGGCAGGCCAAGGACTGTATTTTCTACATCTCTCATTGCACCTGTGCTGAGAGCACCACAGCTGCAGCCAGATTATCTGAGTGGAGACTTGGGTCCTGGGACTTACTAGCTGAGTGACTTTGGACAAGTTACTTAACCTCTATGTGCTTTAGCTTCCTCATCCGTAAAGAGTGGAGAATCATAGAACCTCCCTCACAGAGCTGTTGCAAGGGATTTTTGAGTTACTAGACACAAAGTGCTAGATGGGTTGGGGGTCCGGCCATACTCGTGCTTGCTGTGACAGATGCTTCCTGATGTGATTGCTGGACTGCAGTTCAGGGCTGTAACTTTTTGTCCACAAATGTGCTTGAGCTCTCATCTCTTACAGGGAACCAAATAAAGCCTAGTTTTTGATCTTGATTCCGTCATAAGCTGCTTCGCCCATTATCCTTTCAAGGCAAAAGTTTTGGAAAGAGACAGAAGTCTGTGTTTGTCTGATTCCACTTCCTTACCTCTGAATCATCCCACTCCCATCCCTTCCTGAAACTTTTCCTTTGGATTCCCCACTATCTAACATCCTAATTATCAAATACAGTGAGCTTTATTTCCCAGTAGCTTTTTATCTCTTTGACTTTTTCTTTTTTTTGGTTTTTGGAGGTATTTGTTTTTACTAAGCAGCCTCATCTTAGAATGTGGTTCTCGCTTGACTGTAGCGGGGTTTCTCTAAACTCCTTTCCTTCCTAATTCTCCAGATGTTTCTTCTCCCTTCAGTGGCTCCTCTTTTGCCACAACAGGGAGGTAAGACTCAAGGAGCTTTTCTTTTTGTTAAAAAATATCTATACTGTGTGTGATGAATGTCCTTTCTACCATCTCCTAATGTACTCTGTAAATTTCCTACTGCATTGCATTCTACTATGCACACACGCAATGTGTGCACACATATATATGTACACACACCATGTATATGTGCACGTGTACATGATATATATGTACATACACTATATACACCTGTGCACACACTATACACACAAACTATATATGTCTATATGCTATTATATGTACACATGCATGTATTTATATGCTATGTACATATAACATATATGTACACTATATATGTACAAAGAACACTATATATACTATATATGTATGTACATAAATTCTATATGTATATATGTAAAACATGCTATATATCTATAGACACTTATATGCACACACACACACACACACACACACACACACACACACCCTCTCTCACACACACAAGTATTTTTGTCCTCTTTACCATTTATTTCTGCCTCTACCACTAAGCCTAATTCTTGGTAAGTATTGGTTCAGTGTTGCATAAATCCTGGAAGCACTAGAAGCGCATCTTTGCCATCACTCATGTCTTTCTTCATCCATTGCTTCTTGTTCTTCTCCATTCTCCATCGCTGGTCCATCCCAACTTTCTGCTCAGGCCATGGTCACAGCTCATACTGTCTGTGCCAGAGGAGGGTACAGTCTACTAGGAAAGAGAGTCAGGCTAGCAAATGCCTGTAATCTAATGTGGTCAGTGCTGTAAAGGTGATTATTAACAGGTTGTTAAGGGAACCCAAAAAGAGATGGGACCCTTGGGCTAAGTCATGAAGGATTTGTATGGCTTCACCAGGCAGGGTCAAGGGCACACCTGGCAGGAGAAACAGCAGTTGCAAAATCAGAGAGGGATGAAAGAACCTTCTTAAAACATGGTAGGAAGTTCAGCCACACTGGAAGAGCAAGGAAGGAACTTCAAGGCATGTGTCTGACAAAACAGTTAAGGCCTGGATTTGGGCCCAGCAATAAACATTTGCTGTTTTACCACTTTACAAGACATTGAAATTACTTAGAACTGTTTTCTCACCTGCCTACATCACAGAGTTTTTGAGAGATCACATGTAAAATTGCTTTGAAGCAAATGTTAGGGCTTGCTATTGTTTGTTGATTTAGATGGATGGATGTGTTGATAACTGGACTTAGGCAATGGTGGGAGTGGGGAGGGTGCTCTGCAGATTTTAAGCAAAGGTGAGATATGATTAGATCCGGTCCAAGATGTTTACTGGCAGCAGAAAATAGTGGCAGTGATCCCATTTAGACCATTGCAAGTTCTGCCTGGATTCCAGTCTTGGCTCCACCGCTTATTAACTTTGTGACCTTGAGCAAGTTGCTTAATCTCTCTAAGGCTCAATTTCCTCATCTGTATAAAAGGGGTGGTAGTTCCTACCCTTAGGGTTGTGGTGAGGAATAAGAAAGATCACATTTAGAGAACTTGGTGAGCTGCCTCCCATCTAGTGAACACTCTGTAAATAGTCACTCTTGTTAGAAGTTGTTATAAAGGTGTTATGATTAGAGGTGAAAGAGAATGAGCCTGTCCCAAAACAAGTGGGATGGAGAGGAAGGAAGGGATTTCTCTTCTATTATAAAAGCTCTTTTTTTATTATAACAGTAACACATGCTCATGGACAAATTTCAAACACTAGAGAACAGTGCAAAGTAAAAAGTAACTTCCATTCACATTCAATTAACTTATTTCCACTGCAGATATAATCAAAGTTAACCCTTTCGTGAGTAGCAAACCAAAAAGTCAGTCCGTCAGTCTCTCTCTCTCTCTCTCTCTCTCTGTCTCTCTCCCCACCCCATGACTTTTCAGCTGGCATGCATTCAACGATTTTTAAAAGTCAAGAAAAAAAGCAAATTAGTGTAAACAGAAGTTCTTTAGATGAAAGCCCCGGGGCATTTCCCCCCTCTAAATACTTTCGCTTATTTCCTTTTTCTATACCTCCTGATCACTTTGCAAAACGAGAAGAGAAACCTAGGTTCCCTCTCTTCCTCAGTGTCCATGAAGGCTTGCTTGGCGGTGTGGCTGCTCTGCAGCTGAAACGGCACACACCAAAGGAAAAGCAGTTTTCCTTGCTCTCTGCAGCTGGGATTTTTCCTGGCTCTCCTCTTCTGCTGCCTACAGGGCCTCATTGGTGCCTTTTACAGG